CTCAATGCCCGGAGCAGGACCGAGACAGGGGCAGCAAAATATCCAGGGAACTATGGGGCTGAAAGAACCCAGGGACAAGACTGCCTGTCTCGGGCTCAACTTGGAAGAGAAAGGGCCAAACCGGAGAGTGAAGGTGGTTGCCAGCCAATGGCCTGTGGATCCCCAGCACCACAGAGGGCGGAAATAAACGGTCTCGGTCTCCACCGGCCTTTAGGCTCTCACCAGTATTACGCTTTGCCACATCTACCAACAGGCTGTCTGGCATACAGAGAGAGGAGGAAGCTAAGTAAAAAGTGATGCTTGCCAGCTCTGTGTATCCTCCACCACCGGTGTGCTAGAAGAAATCCTTACCCTCGAGTGAACATTTGGAAATTTAGTGATATTATTCTTCTTTAGGGCTAAACAGAAAAAAAACAAAACAAAACAAAACACAAAATGATGGTTAAGTAAAAAATGGGATGGAAAATGAAGAGCAAGTCAACTCAGCGTTCAAAACTCCCAGGCACGTTAGCCAACAGAGCAAGAGGGGGTAAGGCCAAGGCTACGAGAGGGGGTTAGACACGGAGAGGAAAGGACAGGAGGGCCACCCTCACCTCTCGCTAAACAAATTCCAAGCTGCTTTGAAGATTGGCTCCAGGAAGATAATACAGCAATTAACTCGAAAGAGCAAATAACCGTTGAGCTGATTACAGTTCGCAATTTTATTAGAAGCATTCGTAAAAATATACATCACCAGAGTGAAACACTGTTGTCTTCTTAAGCCACACGAGTCCTTAATTCAAGACAACAGTGTTAACAGACATGCTGGGTTAATCACACCCTTCTTACACTTTACACCACACGATGTAAATCGCTCAGTTCCATGTCAAGCTTTCCACCAAGTTCCTGAGGTTCTGGCACGTCGTTAAGTGTTTCCCCAGCTCTGCCCCTTCCCTCTCCCCCCGGGTCACGCACCGCGGCTGCTACCGCGCCCAGAGCCCAAGTGAATCGGGACGGGTTCGTGCTCAGTAAACATCTCTGCTTTGATTTAGATGAAGTTGGCATGGAACTGAAAAATGTTAAACATGGATGTGACCGAACGAGGAAAGATTTTTATGCCTGTTTTATCCCGTATCTCACATGCAGACAAACATGCAGGCGCTGGTTAGAAAGTCTGAACCAAAACACTGCTCGCAGAGGGGGTCCGTGATTCCAGACAACCCTGCCAAGGCAGAAAGCAAACCCCAAGGAAGTCCCACTAGGTTCATGCAGCCCCTCATTTCGCTGCTGTAGCACATGCATTTTACAGGCAGACTGGCACATGGAGAACGATCTGTAGGCCAGGAGAGATGACATAGAAAAGCCAAGTGAACCGTCACTTTGTGAGTGTTTGGTCTCCTGGGAACCCCAGGAAACCGGCACCACGCTGGCCGTGACTTCCACCACTTGCTGTTCTATGGCATTCGTCAGGGAGGGTGAGAGATGCCTTTGAAACCCAAGGATGGCCAAAAGCATCCGGTGCAAAGTCGATGGGATGGAATAAAAAGTTACTGAAACACAGGAACATGCAACAGAGGTGACAAACACAACTTCAGGTGGACACTGGACATTACTATACACTCAACATTCACATGATCCTGGCTGAGATCCGTACAAATGGAGAAGTGTCAAAAATCTACAGCAACCTTTCTTTTTTCTAAGAGCATCAGATGTGAAAGAGGAATAGTTTAGTAATGGAATTCCTCAGTGAGAACAGGTTCGCAGAAAAACCGAGAGCCCCGCTTGGCGGTTCGAGCGGTAAAGGGCACAGTCTTCAGCACTGCATGGGAATAACAGCCAAACAGACAAACAGAGCCGTGAGAAGCGGATCCATCGCATTAGTACAGTGTTAGTGCTCGCTCAGGGACACCCAGGGACGGCTTTACAAGTTCCAACCAGCTGCCTAACAGCACTGCTCTTCCGTAGGCTTAGGCAACGAGGCAGTCCTAAGTCTCTGGAGAAGTATTTCTATTGCATCGTTTTCTACGGGTTTGGGAGACTACTGCTACACATGTTCCAGAAAAGGGTGTGCTGTTTTCAGTGCTCAGCTTTCCTGTGCATCTGATGAGGCACTACCCAATTTAAAACCACACTCTCCATCATTTCCATCCCACTGATCTCATGGGCTGTATTAGAGCGACCTCGGTCCTACCTGACTTTCTGTGCTTGACCTTTACTACTACATGGCTCGAGGCCCTCGGAGACACCCCCCCAGTGGGAAATCCTAGGCACAAGACCATGGGAAATGTTTAATTTAAGCCTGGACTGCCTTTTGCGTGTGGATGGTCTTCTGCCACACAATCTGTTTCTCCCACAGAGCAGCAGAACCACTTTGCCAATTAAACAAGCTTCCAGGAGTCAGAAGGAGTCGCAGAAGCAGTGATTAGATATTGTAGCAACTCTGGCCTTTAAATAACGAGTATTATCTTAGGAAGCTTTTAATCAAGTGCTGTGAAAGCTTCAACCATTTCAGCCCTGTCATCTAGTCAGGCAAAAGTTCCCTGACTTTCCTTAGTGAGTGGTAAAACAGCTCTCCTGCCCTCCTGCAAGAAAAACTCAGGTGAAAAACATCAGGAGCGGCAGCCAAGGCAATAATCCTGCCCAAAGACCTTTTTCTGAGCTTCTGTGCAACAGAGACAAATGACCGTAAAGCTCCTGAAGCGTTAAAATCGTGGTTCTTCCACACCGCAGGTGAAGAACATGCAGGGAAATCTAAGTACTGCACTCAGAGCAGCTGTAGAGATTAAAAATGGTTCTGACTCCTGAGCAAAAGACTGTTTAGAAGGCAGCTCTCTTTTTATCAGCAAATATTTGCACCCAAGTCCCGACTGCGTTTGGCTACGCCAGTGGGTTCTGCGTGTCCCTCCAGCCCTAGGGTGGGATCAGGGCAGGCTCTGCCTACCCATCTGAGAAGCAGAAAACCCAGCAGCAGCTCAGGGCCATAAATCATTCAGGTTGGACTAAATGATTTGCTGTAACTGCGCAGTAACGCGGTGCAATTACTGTTAGTAGATTTTAATGAAAATGGAGGCTCTTAATAATGTTAAGCAACCATCATTCATTTCATTTATGGGGAAAAAAAAAGGTTTCTGGGAAAGATCTGCGCGGCATGCATAACTCCACCGGAGCATCTGCTGAGGACAGGCACTGATCTGGCTACTCTAAAGATGAGGGACACGTAAAGGCAGGTTACTGGGGGTTGTTTGTTATATACCGTTAGCAAAAGTTTCTCTATTTGATTCACATCATATGAACAATGTCCTAAGCTGCGCTCAGGTAACGCCTTTTTAAGAAGTACACAAAGGACTTGAAATAGCTACTAGGCAGATACTCATTTTTATCCTCTGTGATTGCAGAACAAAAGGTGTTTACCTGTTATGATGTCTTCAATAGCACCATCCTTCCCTTCATACACATGCCTGTTATCCTTGACCTGCCGCCGTCTGAGCTCTGCAATCAGCTCTTGCTGCTGTCTCTTTGTTTTATGTGAAGGAGACTGAAAGCAAAGGAAAGAGGATTTGGAAAGGAAAGGATTTGGAAGGACTGACCTCCAGCTACCCCGTTCCTCTCCTCCTGAAGGTGAAACACCAGGTGATCCCACTGCTGGCAGTCAGCAACCAGTAACTGCCAGTTTGCTACCCAATTTTGGCAAGACCAGGAAAACACACGTGTGCGGGCAGCTCACGTCGCACGGAGGGGGCGGGCAGAGTCACGAGTTAACCAGGCTGCCAAGCTGCTTTTCTTTCCTATGTTTCTGATCTACTCCCAAGCCTTCTCATCACTCCGAACGGGAGCTCTGAGCTCTTACCACTGACAAGCATTAGGGGAACGAGAACAGACCTTCCTTCCGAGGGAAAAAGCTCAGCTGGGATTAAAGATCCCAACAACGGCTGCGAAAAGCAGCCCCAGCCAACAAAGTGGCTGTTTTAGAGCCACGGGAAACCTCCTTCAGCAAGTCTAAAGTGTTGCCACAGGAAAAAAAAACAACCAAAAACCAACATGTCAGGAAAATACCTCTAAAATGGTAAAGTGGGGCTCAGCCCTGCTGCCGTGCCCTGGCAGGGCAGGGTGTGGGGAGGATCGTTCCTGGTCCTGGGTTCGAAGGGACGCAAGGCCGGGGGATAACTAAGTTTAACCAACAGCAATGGGGATGAGATTAATTTCTGTCTATTCAGGTTTTTTAACTTTGCAGACTTCAAAAGCAGCAGAATCATAAGCTGTAATTCTTTCAGTTTATTTCAGTTCCCTCCACATTTGGAGAAAACTTCCAGAGACTCTCTTCCCAGGCAACTCTAAGTTGGGCAACTGAAGTGCTTATACAGAGCTGAGGTTTCTGAACTATCATGAGAAACACATGAAGACGACAGCTCTGGCCTGTAAGATGTATCTGTTTCATACCTTTTGGTCCTGTTGCTCCATCAGTGCCTCTTGCTCCATGAGTTTTTCCATTAAGGCCTGTTCCTGCTTTTTCCTCAACTCATTCTCCTCTTCTGCTTGCTATTTATCACAAAAAAACACAGGTTATAGCTTCCAACTGCTATAGGGAACCTAAATATTACAAATGAGAAACACTATCACTTGTTACCACGGGGTTTTCCAAGGAAGCAGGATTTAGATGCAGCAATTTAGCTGCCTCTGAACAGAGTCTGAAAAAAACTGGGCCAGGAGGGACCTCCCTGGGTGGCACAAACCATCCTCTCCCAGTCCCCAGAGACACGTTTTCAGGGTTAAAGGTGTAAGCTGCCCAGACATTCCCTTTCTGAGGATTCCTCCAACGTTGCCTTTCAGCCCTGAAAATAACCCCAAGCCAACTCTGCTGCCGGGGATGGCTCACATCGAATTGAAGCTAGAGGGAGCCACACGCTGTTTTGTTGGGAGCCCTGGGCCATGCAAGTAGCCAGCAGGTACCAAATGGGGTTGAGAAGGATGGCAGAGAGGAGGGGGATGCTCCTGTTTACCTTGTAGGCCTTCACAAACCGGACAAACACTGGGAAAAAGACCGAGGGGGGTGTTGTCTTGGGATTCTCCCCGAAGTACTTCACAGCATCATCAAAGGCATCCTACAAAAAGCACAGATTTACCGCGTTGCACATGTTTCTAGGTGAACTCACCCTCTGTGACTGCAATATCCATTGTAAAGGGTCCAGACTGCCTCCGTGTGTGAAACCCTGGGCTGAGACCAGCATGTCTACACCCAGCCCTTGACCTCAGCAACAAATACACAACACTGCTGCCTCTTCGCCTCCCTGTGGTGAATCCAAAGCACGTTCTTTGCAGCGACACACTACTACTCCTGCCAAACCACATGTATAAAGAAATACCTGGGCTATTTTGGCGTCGTCCTGCAGTTTCTTTAGCTTCCCTTCGTTGTTCTGAATGAACTCCTTCAGCATCGTGTTGTGGTCGTGCATGGTGTACTCGCGCTTTGTCAGATCCAGGCCCCTCTGCAGCTCCTTCACATCCAAGAGGACGTTTTCCAGAGACACTGGGAAATCAAGCAAAAATGCTGCATCACTCCTGAACCCACAGCTTGAACAATTCCCCACCGAGAAGCACCCCGCCAGCCCGTGTGAGGTGTGGAGTCCCTCGCACAGCACACGTGCCACCACTGCTGCCCGAGCACTGGGGGGTGATGGTACCTGCAGCGGCTTTCTCCACGTAGTGAAGCTCGTTGTAGAAGAGGGATACGTGCTGGTACTTCTCCTTGACCACGTTTGAGATATAGTGCAGCAGAGTCTGCTTTCGGTCTGTTGACTTTGTCTCTAGGAGCTGGGGAGAGAAGGCAAAGAGATGGCTGGGTGGAGGAGCAGCAGGCTCCAGGCAAAGGGACTCAACCAGTGCTTGCCTCTTCCTCGTGTTTCTCCATCTGACAGGGACGGCTGTAAAAGCTCGTTTCATCCTTCGGCAGGTGATTTTCAAGCTGTGGTCTGCAGAGCCTCGGAAGACACCTGCCTTCTCCTCAGCAGCCCCCCAAATCAAACTCAAACCAGGGAGCACCTTCCCCGCTGCTCCTCCCCGGCTGGAACGTGCCAGTTGAGCCCCCAGCAGCCCCTCGCCGTGTAGGTGATGTGCATCCCCCTCCCGGGCCCCCACGAGGCACCTCGGGTTCGTTTACCAGGTCTAAACTCTGTAGCTTAAATCCATACACAGCTCCTCGTTTACTGCTGTTCATGTAGTTTCCGAGAGCCAGGATTATCTGCGGGGATGAAACAGAGCAGAGCGTGAATTTTCAGGACAAAAACGTCTGGAAGAAGAGCCGGTGTGTCAGCACCCACGTACAGTTTCAGGACATGTAAGGGGACGAAGCTACTGAACATATCTAAAATGAGACCTACCTCCAGTATCTTCTTAAGCTTTTGGGATGACTTGATTGAGACAGACGCAGCTATTATTGCGTGAAGTTGCTGCAGGTGAACACAGGAAGAGCTTTGGTTAACGCATGTCCAGCCCAAGAGTAAAACTAAAATCTAAACTCTCATATTCTGCAGAAAGCCTCTTGTTTTTCATCCGTACCGTGGGCCCTAGTGTGAATGTTATCCTGCCCTGACACATCAGGATTTCAAACAATTCATCTGCACCGCACATTTGCCACGCTCAGATGTGGTTGGGTAAAAACGTGTTTACATTTCAACCCTCACGACGGTGAAAGATGCATCAGGCAGAACGGGACACACTTCAAAGAGCCCACGGACCAGCACTGATAATAACGTTCCCTGATGATGCAAACAACTCGATTTTTGTTTGAACTGGTTTTAAACTTCTACGGGGTAAAAAAATAGGATAGTACAGAGCAGTCCAGGCTACAAACAGCACCTGGGATATCAGAGTTGCCGATGAAGGAAAATATAGTTTGAAAACCACTTTTTCATTTGTGTAGTTGTTTCTTGTTCTGTCTCTGTGAGCACTGATAACCACTCCACAACGCTCCAAACGTCTGTCTTAGAAAAATTTCCATCTCTATAACCCTCACCGACCAGGCGATGCTCCCGGCAGCGGAGCTCTGGGTGTCCCCAGGGGTTGTCCCTCACTTACTCACCGGGGTCAGCATCTGGATGCTTTCGGCAAAGTTGCCTATAAAGGCCATGATGGTCATCTTCTGCATCAGCCTCTCAATCTTGCTGAACTGCATCATGAACCGGTCTTCGTCGGACAGGTTCTCGATGGGTTTCCTCTCCCGCTCGTAGAGGCGCAGCACCTTCACTTCGTTCTCGGTGGGCAGGAACCGCATGAGGCACTCCACGAAATCCACCGGTAATGTTTTCAGGTCAAACCTGCATGGTGACAAACCAGAAGAGGTGGCGTTACGACAAAGCTCGACACAAAACAATGGAAAAAGAAGTGAGAAAACTGCCAAAGGCAGGTGGGGTCTCCTATGCTGCTCAGCAACACGTGAGCCTGAGGCAGTAAAGCAATGAGAAACTATGAAGGAGCTGTGAAGTTCCTCCTGCTCTCATTGCCCTGAACGGGGTGGGGGACACGGGCCTGCACGTGAAACTCTCAGGGCATGAAGATGTGGACAAGGTTACCGTGCTGCTGGGTGCCCTGCCTCTGTTTTCAAAAACACAAGCATTCACGCAATCCCAGAATCATCGAGGTTGGAAAAGCCCCTGCAGCTCCTCCAGCCCCACCAGCGCTGGCTCAGCCCGACTCTTCAACCCCTCCAGGGATCCCGGGGACTCCCCCCTGCCCTGGGCAGCCCATTCCAACGCCCAACAGCCCCTTCTGCACAGAAATCCTTCCTCAGAGCCAGCCTGACCCTGCCCTGGGCAGCTTGAGGCCATTCCCTCGGGGCCTGGCGCTGGCTCCTTGGCTCCAGAGACTCATCCCCCCTCTCTGCCCCCTCCTGGCAGGGAGTTGCCGAGGGCCAGGAGGTCTCCCCTCAGCCTCCTCT